ACCGTCCGTAATAGTCAGAAACCGTCCGTAATAGTCAGAAACCGTCCCTGAAACCACCAAAAACACCCTGAAATGCGGTCTAGTTTTGTAGTCAACAATTCAAAGCCACCGAACGATCTGAACGGTGTGGAATGCCTCCAACAGTCCCTCGACTCCAGAATCCTGAATGCTCTTGCACGGAACTTGCAAGATCTCCTGCTCCTTTCCCCTTTGTTCAAGCCAACGCACCACATCTAGGATCGCAGATTGGCGATGCATCTTTGGAAGAGCAACTGAGAAGTTCTGCACAGCCGCATCGAAGTTAGCTTTCTCTACAATATCCGCACGAGCCCCGATGATGTACAAGCGTTGCCGGCATTGAGGGCTTCCATAGTCCCGGCTCCTGCAGAGCCAGAGCCGGAAAAGTAAAAATCTATATAGTTGGGTGCAACGGCATAATTGTAACACATCACATCACACATCCATCATCCATCAATCAATCATCCATCATTCATGATCAAAACAGTTCAAAACTGAAACACGGACAGGCATTGAAACGGGTTTTCAATGGCACTGCATTTTGACAGGTCCGGTCTGGTCCAGTGCCGAACTACCTCAATTGAAACCAAGCTACCGAACGGGGATGCAAGCAATGTGATATGGAGGCTCTAGCCTCTCCAATCCAATAACTTCACCATCAACTTCCCCACGAAGCAAAAATTCATACGGCGTCTGCAAGGAAGGGCAAAACAGTGGACAGTGGAACAGTAAAAAAACAGTAAAGCGGTAAAGTAAAACTACAGTAAAACACAAGAATCACGGGACTTGACAGGACTCTGAACATACCTGCTGCCTGCTTCACATGTCACATCTAATCATCTAATTCATCTCTTTCAACTCAAACTCAAACAAATGAGACTCCGAGACTCTGAGGCTCATGAGACTGTGACAATTGGGCAACGGGAGGTGCACTGTGCACTGTTCTTTTTTTCTCAAGAAAGGTGGGAAAGGATTTCCTCAGCTGCACGCTTGACAACTGGCTCACTACTGGTGCTGCTGGCCGCACCGCTCATTTGGGAAACAATCCTAGCCATGGCAGATACAGCTTGCGCTTGGCGCGCTGTCGGGTTCGCTTGGACAAAGCCAACAACACAAGAAGCGTGCATCCATCGAGAAGGCTTCCTGGTGTCCCAGAAATAAGAAAAAACG